AATAAATTTAAAAAACCGGACATTTCTGTTAAGATTCGAAGTTATTAGCATTTAATTGACCAATTTTGGGTTTTTGTACTAAAAATCGTAAAAGTTCCCTTAAAAATAAAAAACGCGCTAGAAAATAAAAATGTTTGTATGAATATGTTCTACATGGGCTAGTGTATCACCCCCTTAAAGGTTTGCACCCAGCTACCAAACACCCTGTATATACGTAGGTGTGAAGAAAAAAGTAGTAGGTACATCAATTTTTCAAATAGGACATTGGATCATTTTTCACAGCAATTTTTCAGCTAATTTAGTTGCTACAGAAACAATAAAGTAAGTTCAAATCTTCTAAGTTCAGCTTTGGTTTTCTGGCTCAGCCTTATGCTTCCCTCTCAAGTATTGATAATATTCAATGTTTCGATTGAAAGGGGTATAATTTTGGGATAGATTAATTTTTGGAAAAGAAAGGTTTTGACTTACTATTTCTCTATTTTTATACAAAGAAAATGTGGAAATCTTCCATAGATAGAAAGAAAGCAATATATTTCAAAATAAACTCTCTACAAAATTCCCACATTTTTTTGTATAAAGATGGAGTGCTACCTCCTCAATGATTTAAATTTTTTATAGATGTTGTTTCCTGGTCAATCTAGTATCACACCCAGATATTCAACCTCCACTCCGAAGTTTTGGAGGTCTTAGGCCCTCTGTTTTAGCCCTCTTGGTGAATGCTAATATGATCAATTTCGTTATGCTTATTCTTAGCCCTTCATCATTGGTCCATTCAGTTGAAATATTTAGGGCCTACTACATGCGTCCCTTCACTATATTAATATGTTTTTCCTGGATATGGATGACTCAGGTCGTCTGCATCGCTCATTATGACCCAGAAGACGTAGTAACTCGTCCATTACAAGATTCCTTAAGAGTTGGGAGCAACCTTCTCCTAAGGACAACTCCTTGCTACTCGATTCACTGTCTCTCCCGTGATGGTTGTGTATACCATTCTCCCTCTAATCATGCAGTCTATCCACCTGCAGCTTGTTTCGTCGATCCTCTTCCTCAATGCCTGGATGATGATTCAAGAGACATATTATCAAATGCGGCCTCTATGTCCAAGAACTAAAAGCAATTTCTTGTTCTTGTGAGCATGTTCTGTTTTTCCGTGACCTGGTGTAGTTAGTTTCCGTCGACATACCTGATCTCTGGGCTCCATACAGTGGTCAAGTAGTTTTTCTTATATCTTTAATGCAAAAGGCATAAGACTGATTGGTCTCAAGGCTTTCGCTGAGTCCTGTCTGATTTTCCCAAGTTTTGGAATAAAGGTGACCCTTATCAGTCTCCATGTTTTTGGCATATATGCCAGAACCAAACTCACTCTAAAGATTAACCACATTTTTTAAGTAGTTCCTGTCCTATTTGCAGCATTGTTGGATAAATACTCTCTGGTCCCGGCGACTTATAAGGTTGGACTGAGTTTACAACACATTTAATTTTTTCCAAATCTACTATTTTCTATACAATCAGTCAATTCTCCTGGGATGTTGTTTTAGAAGCTTCCAGTTCTGAATTTGTCCAGTACGCTGTTATATTTGTAATTTCTGACCTGACGAAGTGCACCCAGAGAAGCTCTCTCATAGTCCTCCACCTGTTTTTGTGTACTCCCTAGTATTTGTTTTAAGGTTGTTTATTAAGACCTGAGGTCTCTAAGAGAGTATCTTATTTAGCACATACTTAGGTCTGTTTGACTTCCTCTCATTGTGTTCTCCATGAGTAGACCCAGGGCTTGTATTAAAGCAATATCAAACTTCCTCATAACCTTTGTAAGGACTGCCGAAACCCCCTTACTGGCTTGTACTACTCTCATTGTGACTCTGAAGAGACTCTCATTGAGTCAGTTTTACATCGACTGCTGATGATACCAAATGGAAATCAAGAATGCCTACAATGACTGAACTTGTTTACTATTCAACTTGTTCAACTGAAAACCTTTGTCTATTGCAATTATTATATCATAATATAGTATTTTAGAAGTGGTTAATGCAAGGGCATAATCATATTCAAAATTATTTATCAAATTCAAATGAGGCTTTTTCCTAAACTTACCCCCAATGGTTCACTTTCATGGTAGTCTTGAGGTCATTTTTCTTGAACTGGTTTGGTCCACATCCTAAGTGTAGAGCAGCAAACATTTGTAGGATTGTAGCAGTTCTCTGAATCAATCCTAAAGTAGTCTCGTTCTTATAAGGCTGTTTGAGTGAATGATAAGAATACCCACAAGAACATTTGGAATGTTTTGTGTCATCTTGTAAGTAATTTATGAATCGTTCAAGATCTGCTACTTGTGTTTTCAACTGGGCCACCAGATGCTCTTTGACTCGAAGTGGGCTAACAAGTTCATCTAGAGCTAAATTAACTTGTTTACTGAGATCCGCTTGGGTCATCTGAAAGATAATAATAGTAATGGAGGTTTTCATTTCCCATCATAATGAACTTGAATGAAATACAAAAAATATCAACATGATGGGAAAAGGCCGGAGTTCAGATGAGCTGCTGGCAACCCGTTATTATTCTCAAGATGAAAGAATATGATCAATCTTATTGATTATTCAAAACAGTTGATAATGCAATTGAATGGACCTCAAGAAGTTATTACCTGATGAAAATTTTGCTCATCTAGTTCCAAATTCATTCTTGTTTTCAGCTCATTCAGAATTACTCTTTGTCTCTCTAGCAACACATCTTGTGGAATACCAGCTTCTCCACTGTCGAAAGCATACTGCTCTAGTTCTCTTAGTTGTGTTTTGAGTCTATCTATCAGTTCTTTCTGTTGACTACGTCTCAATCGTACTGCTTCTGCTAAGCTGGCTTCATCCATACGTTCTTTAACAAACCCAACATCTGGAATACCACGAAATGCAAACTCCTCTAGCGATTTCAGAAGATCTTCTTTATCTTCGGACGGAGCATTAACCACCTGCCTCAATCGAAATTGAACCTGAGCGAAGTGAGTAGTTAATGCAAATAAGGATGAATTAAGCAGTTCTTGCTCTTCCTCCATGTTTCTGATTTTTTCCATCACATATCTACAACATATCAAATTATAAAAAAATTAAAATAAATATAAAAAGGTGAGCTTACTGATTGTTATGATCACAGCTGTAGTCAAATTTATCCATGTCCATGTTACTTTCTTCATCATTTGGAGCACCGAGAGGATCCCACCTTTCACCTGTTGGTTGTTCTTCGCAAAAATATTCTGGAGTTGAACCACTATCCATTTTAAATTAAATTTTTAACTTATTTGAGAACAATGGTTCAATGACTAAATGGTTCAAACCTCATTTTTTCACATTAGCATTCTAATGGTGAAGTAAATTGAAGTGAGGAAGCGCAATGCAAGTGAAGTAGATAACGATAACTGAATATATTTCATGTACATGATAACATTTTCATGAATACCAAGTATATGTGAATACCTACTACTACTTCACCTCTGTAGTAAAAACAAACACAACTTACATGAAACACAATGGTATGACATCAATGTAATGTCAGCACTGTCATCATGACACATGACAACTGAAAAAGTGGCAATAAACGGCCGTCAGGTGGTGAAAAACAATAAGTTTTTCGTGTGCTACGTGCTTCTAATTAATTATTAGGACACGTGTAAACTTACAAAAAACTATTGGATACCTTGTGAGAGACTGTAAATACATTTTCCATCATGTACTGCAATCGTGGATAATTACACACATTAGCGTTGCGTGCTTTGCCAGATTCGCGATCTTTTCAAGTGAAAAAAAAAACTTTAGCAACATGTCCGAAACTCTCAGCGACAAACAGTATCATTAATTATGGGTATAACTATTTTGCAGGTCTGTAGGTCAGCAAATTGTTCTCAGTAGACATTGCTCTCGTAATCTTGTAGGACAGAAATTCTTGCAGGTCGGGTCTGCCAGACATGAATCTCGACCAGGTTAATCTCATTATCGACAGAAAAAATTCCAACCCTCACCCTTTGAGTATGGAAAAATTCCACATTCCTCATTAAATTGAAAATAAACCTTGCAGGTCGGCAGAAATTCTTGCATATCGGGTCTCCCAGACATGAATCTCGACCAGGTTGATCATTTTTGACAAAAAAAATCCAACCCCTACCCTTTGAGCATGGAAAAAATCGATCCAGAAATAAAAAATAAATACCTAAATATTATTAGATTTCACCACTTAACTGAACCTGTCAAAGTGGTCTTATTTGGAGTGCGGTGTGGGACGTGCGGGAACGAATGACGATCATTCGCTAAGAGTGTTTGGCCGAAATGAAAGTGCGAGGGGTGGTCTAGTCGCCGAAGGAGCCGAACGTCACGTTACGTGTGGCAGCATTGAGTTCGGGAGGAAGAGAGAAAGATATAGAGCGGCGATACAAACTGGGGAGTCCCGTCCCGTATTTAATTTTTGTCAAAACAAAAGTCACCTCGGATAATTGCGTCTTGCAATTTCTAATTAAAAGTATTCAGTGAGTTATTTACATAATTTGTCAATCATTCATCAAAAATTAGAACAAGTATTCTTATTTAGTTTAGTAATTGTGATGAGTATACCAATTGTTTAGAAACTGTGCAGTTATTTTTGGAATCCAATGATGTTGAATATCATTATCTTGCTTACTAGAGAGATTGGTAATCATGGAATAATATAGATCCATATCTCCTGCAGAGAGTCCGACTATAACAATGAATTAGAAATGTCTTATTGTTCTTATTGTTTTTTTAGGCTTGCTCATAAACCGTATTCATTCAATATGTGTTCTTAATCGTGAACAAAACACGAAATAATTTCGTTGTAATATGGCCATATTCTCCTCATAGTTATAAGATCTGCTTAGACTTTGATCTCACTCAATAATAATCCTTTTAAGACCGCTTGAAATTTAGTCTCAGGTTTAGCCCACCACCTTGACGGGTCAGGGATTTCAAGCCGAGCTTTTATGAACATAACCAAGCTTTTTGATCTAGACTCTAGAGTTGGGATTGGCAAATACCACTATAACCTACAATTATATCGTCTAACAACAATTAGATATTTGAAACTGTCATTCTTCAGTACTTGTTTTTACTGCCTAACGAAAAAAGATATTTTTTTCTGGCTGAACTATACACCAAATTTTTACTTTATCTCAGCACTCAAGTATGATGTATGAACGCTCCCATTTATGTTAAATATGTATTAGTATTACATATATACAATGAAAAAAATACTTGACAAGTCTACAATTTTTTCTTTTCAGCTAATTCAATTTCAAATAATTCCACTTCCATTTTGTGTTTTTTTATGATGGCGGAGTTTTCTGCCTGCACATGCCAAAATTGAATATCCAATATATTGAATGTCTTCTGTATCCTGTACCTCACCCTGTACTCCAACGTAGTTGTTGTGACCTGTATTGTACCTGATACCTTCTATACTTGTATATCACATGTCACATGAGTGTTTTCTTATCCTCTGTTTATAGGGCTTGCTGAGCATGATTTACTGATCAACGCTCAATGCAATATTTATTTTGGAATTTACGATGGAGCATACCCATTAACAGAAGTTACGAAATCGTTGAATTTATTACTGGATTTTAGTACGAAAATAAAATATCGAATGGCAACCCTGGTCGATCATCATGTTTCGTGATTTTGTGGTATATTTCATGGTGTCAAAAATTTTGCAATAAAAAAGAGTGGTTTTCAATTGGCAAATATTTGAAAATATCTATAAAATCATAAACAGTTTCCTATGTTGTACATCGAAGAAAAAATTAAAAATATTTTTTATGTGAACGAATGGAAGTGCAGTGTATGCTGTAAACTATTCTGAAACTTAAGACTTTAAGGCACTGACAGGAAAGGTACATATCAATGACGAATTTCAGGTGCATACTCATCTCAATCAATAGCCTATAACTAAACATGCATAAACATATCAATTAATTGTGGAACTTAATTTCTTTACGTGAAAAATTTTACGAATCAGTAGGTACAGACATTTTTATGGGCATCATTGTGTAATATTGCATTACAAAACATTTTGTTTGAACAAAATTTTTTACTTCAATTCATATAAGAATATTTTTTTAGGTGGAGATTTTGAGAACATTCTCTTTGCTTTATACTTTTACTAATTTCATACGAACATTGAATTATACTGAAATCAGTTTTTCTTATTCAGTTTGTACTACAAGCATTCATAATCAGAGTGAAATGCAACTTGTTTAATGAAGCATTATTGATATAAAATTTTACTTACAAGGAAAACTCAATCTTTAGGTATTAGTAGAAGTTTCAGTTGAAAACATCAGCTCCTCTTTGAATAACTTTGAAAAAGGGTTCACTCAATCTTTGCATGATCTATACATCTTTGTAAATCATTTATCTTAATGTATTAATACCTTTTAATAGCTTCTTCTTTTTCTTTGGAAGTTTCCCATTTTCTATATAATGATGGATAAGATGAAAGCCTAAAGGTTTTTTCCCATATTTTTCATTTATTAAAAAAAAAATAAAGAGGAAATTCTCCCAGGAGTACGACATTGTGAGATTTTTTGTTGCAAACTATTTTAAACAGCTTGTTTTAGGTGATTTTTCTATAATACAAATATGAACAGAGATATGAAACACAATCTGAGAAGTCTGAAACGAACTCCGATAACAGACGACTATGAAATAACCAAAACAGTCTTGGGACTCGGAATAAATGGTAAAGTAGTGGAATGTTTCAGCAGAGCAACAAAGGAGAAATATGCTTTGAAGGTTAAATGTCTCCCATATTTATTCTATTCGAGAGTATATTCTGATTGTTATTCCAGATACTTGTAGACAGTGTGAAAGCAAGAAGAGAAGTTGATCTACACTGGCGAGCCAGTGGCTGCCGTCATATTGTGAACATTATTGATGTTTATGAAAACAAATATAATAGCAGTACATGTCTTCTAGTTGTCATGGAATGGTAAGTTTTTAGTGTTTAATAAGATATTGTAATATGGAAAATTGTACAAGAGGTAGGTAATATGAAAAAAAAAGGATATAACAATCAAAAAAATGATGAAAAAAATGTAATGTTGAAAATATTCATCTATGCAATTGATGTATTCAATATTTTGCCAATTTAGGCCAATATTATGTTAAATTTATGAAAAAATTGTATTGTGAACCACTCCTTATTTTTTAATCATATAGATTCAAGAAAAATCATAAAAATAATCAGTAGTCTTAAATATAATGACATCCCAAGATTGGTGGAATTAAAGCAGAAACTTGAAAGGATATAGAGATTTTCATAGCCCCTTCACATTTCAGAAATGTTTGAAAAGTTCTAAGAATTTGAATAGAAAATTATTTGGATTTCAGCCACAAAAATCCATAAAAAAACAAGACCTTCAATATTGTGAGTCATTTGTAGTTAATACAAGATTGCATTTGATACGAGGCCTTGATAGATATCAATGTTGGTGAAAAACCATTGGTTGTGATCAGATCTTATTTTCAAAATAGGAAGGAATATGTAAAATCGACAGTGAAAAAAGTAGTGATGAAATTGTCAGACTTTTTTGGGCCAACCCTTTTCATGAAATTCATGAATGATATCTAGTCATTAGGCAGATGCCAGTGATATGATGGCAGTATTGTATGAAGCAAATGACTGGAAGGAGCTCAAGCAAACAGTTGAAGATCTTCTAAATATAAAATAATTAATGGATTGTAAATTTTTTGACAGTAATTATAAAGAAAACCAAATGTATCACTTTTACTTGTACAATAAAACCATACAAAATCATAATTTGTAATAGATGAAGATTTCATAGCGAACCATGGGGTAACTATTGATGATTACCTCAGATGGCACCAATGTGAAGATAGTCAAGTGTTTCAGCCACAAATTGGGGGAAATGACTGTTAACAGAATAGAGTGTGCTAAGCCATCATTGGTCACTAAAGTTCATGGCTAGCAAAGAAAATTTGTATTAAAGGACATTCATTGTCCGCTACTAAATCAGTAAAAAAATGGAATTTCACCTATAATCGTTAATAAAATAATAGATATTATTCTACTTTCCACAGATATAATTTGAATTTTTTTATAAATTTCAAATATGTGAAATTAATATCGATTTGAACAATTATGATTGGAAAAATATGCATCATTTCATGGTTAGTCATGAATTTTAACCATAATGGTTTGGCACACTCCATTTTGTTAGTTAAATTTCCTCAATTCGTGGCTAAAACCAATGGATGCCTTCACACTAGTTCAGATGGCAATACTATATAAACAATACTAAGAGAGTATTGGGATCAGTTCTTCAAAAATTCGAAAGACTCTTATATTCTCGAGATTGAACAATTGAAAATTATATATTTCGAATTGGTTCAGTTAAAGCATTATATTTTTCAAGGGGACCGCATATGTATACCTGAAAAAACTCATTAATATTCAGAACTAAATCTAAACGTAATATCGTACATCCAAAATGGAAAAGGGACAACTCAAAGAAGTGATATTTTCAGGAAATCCCGTTTGAAGTTTTATAGTCTTAGTATAATTCCCGTTTAATGTTTTATATTCACATCACTTTTTTGAGTAGTGCCTTTTTTATTCTGGATGTGCGATATATAGATGACCATTAACATACTTTTCCAAAAAATTATTTATAGACACAAAAGTATTTGATTTTGAGACAGTACAAGAACTGCAATATTCTACTCTCGGCGTGCGTTTCAACAATCAAATTGGCGTCTCCAAGAGATAAAGAAAACATGTGTAATAGAATTGGCCGAAACTTGATGAAAATCCATAACACTTTATTGTGAGATTTTCACTAGACAGTTCACAAAACTGCAAACAACCAAAACACGTGTTTCGCTATACAATAACTTTCTCAAGTGTTTTCATACTCAGTATACAAAAGCTTTTTCATGCATAGTGTGAAAGCTCATACATACATACATAGTACATTTTCATACATATTATGAAAATGCGTTTTCATACATAGTATACGAAAGCATTCTCATGCATGGTATGAAAGCTCACATATGAAAACATTTTATAAAGCTATTGGCTAGCGAAACATGTGTTGTTGATTGTAAGTGCTCATTTTGGATTTATGCTATGCCAGAGGTTTCAGTTTTATCTTTCATCATTTTCTGATGTAGGAAAAGTGTTAAATAGATGAAAAACAATAATCTTTAATTTATGTTCCTAAAATGTAATAAAAATTAATTTAATAAAAATTAAAAATGCTTCAACTCACTTT